GCTCAGAGCAGATGTCAGCTGATCTGGTTTTCCAAAGCACTATGCAATTTTGGGAGAAAAAGAAAGTTTTTCCAAGTGAATGCATAGCCTGTATGTTCATGGTGTGTGTGTGTGGGGGAGAACCCCTTCCCTCCCTCCCTTTCTTGAACCATGGGCAACAGCTTGTCCCTCCTGCTGTGTCTGAAGCCCAGTACTAGAGTCAGCTGTGATGCTGGTTGCCCCAAAATGTGCTAAGAAAGGAACATTAAATCCAAAGCTAATATTAGAATCTCTCTGCATCAATGGAAGGCACTTTAAATTCCCAGGTCCAAATGCTAGTTGTACAGATTCCTCCCCAGGTACAGCATCCAATTCTAGTGGGAAATGGAATTCAAAAACTGCCACGGACAGAATGGACATGTGGACAGTATCTCACATCCAGAGATTCATCCCTTCTCCAGAAATCAGGTGCATGCAGTCTGCAGGCTACAGCTAGAGAACCTTACTGCGTCCAAAATTCTAAACTGCAGCTACCCTGCCTGACCCATTCATGATCTCCTTCCTGGTGGCTTTTCATTGTCATTCTTCTCCCACATCACATCCTTCAAACCTGGCACTCCGCCAAACAGAACAGTCAGCTACTCAGCTTTTAAACATTTATTAGCAGAAGAGAATTCTCTAACACCCCTCGAAACTGGCGAGCTCTCCCATTCCAGCACACTCGATCAAACCCGTGCAACTCTGAGAAGAGCTCAGCAGAGCTGGCACGATCGTTCGATTTTGCAGAAGCACTTCCTGCTACTTACATTTCCTGTCAAAGTAAACTAAAAATGGTACTTTCAAATTCCCAACAGAGCAAAACCTCTATGCAGTTTTCTATTCAAACAGTGCACTGAAGCCCTATGCAGGGTCTCACCCTTCAAAGTCCCATTTCAGTACACTGGTTTACAAAGGTGGAACTGCTTAGGATTGCACCAAGAAGCACCTTTCCTCTGAAACATCAGCATTAAGGCTGTACCCTGCATTAATTTTCTTCCCACAACTCCCCCTTCTCCCTCACACCAAACTAAAAGCAGCAGCTACTAGACAGAACTTTGGTCTTATCAGAACTCTTGCACTGGGCTGCAAAATTCTAGGAATTCTGAGTTACAGCAGCCTGAAGGTATGCAGTCCAGAATATTTCCTGATAACCTGAATCTGCTGATTGTATCAACATTGATGACTGCAAGTACAACACTACATATAAGATGGTACTCGTGCAGATTAAATAACATGAAATTAAAGAGTATGACTTCTTGTGTATGCATTACAGAAAGGCATGGGTAAATGAAGAAGTAGGGACCTCATGTACTACAACAGTGGTGTGGTCCAGGCACATGTCTACTCAAGCATCAGAAACACAGCCCACTACAGAAAACTCTATCCATCCTCAGCCACCCCAAGAGCCCAGTCTCCCTTTCACGTAACTTTAAGTAGAAACAAATGTAGCTTTAAGCTACATCCACTGGTCTGCAAGTATTTCAAATCCCAGAATAGCCTGCATTAATGTTATAGGGTGCACTGAACTAACTGGGGATTGCCTGCTAAAAACATGCTCTGCAAGAAGGCCAGTTCTCAAGTATTTCCCTCCCATTCCTTCTCCTTTGGCCACACAATGCTGTATTTAGGCAAGTCCTGGCTCCATGCCATTGCTTCAGGATTGGTATCAGGTTCCTGCTGCAATGCAACAAGCTCTTTATCTCCACAGTTCATTTGCAACAAGCACGCCCTCACCTAGGTCTGCACAAAACTGCATGAAGAAAAAAACTGATTAAAGTCCCATAGCATCCTCTAGACTGGAAAGGGAGGTAAGAAGGCAGACCAAAGCAGCTGAGTCTTAGCTACTTACATCCCATATGACTGGAGGGTATGATGGACAATGCAGTTGAACTCAAACGGTAGACATTGTCGAGAGTCATATAAAGCAGTGTTTAAACAAGTCTGTTTGGCCCTCATCACTGCAAAGGAAAACAATTTGCCACCAATACCCACTGAACTTGGGACAGAGCTTCCAGAAATCAAGAAGCAAGGCTACATTTTCCTGCACCCAAAAATCTCCTACTGTCCACCTTCATTTCCTTTCTGCACACTTATCACCATACCCTTTGTTAACCCACTCCTTTCCTAAAAGAAAAGAAACCTAAAAAAGGTAAATGCAGCATAAATTCAGCATAATATGCAGATAATCTAATATGCATATTTTTGTTTGAACTCTAAGTTTGGTTATCCATTTGGATGGGTGGAGGAGAGAATGCAAAACTTACCTTCTATGAATAAGGAATCAATCTGGAACATCTAATGCTATTTGCAATATATTGCGTCACCTTAAATTAGGGCGAAACCCTGACAGTGGCAGATAGACCAAACCTAAGATTCATGCTTGATTCATGTTCCAGAGTGAGATGCATTTCCATATAATAACTGTACCCCACAACTGAATAGTCTGTGGTTACAAACAGGAACTGACAAATCCCAGGTGCCTAGAGAAATTTTGTTGTGCCATCCAGTTAACTTCAGTACTCATTTATTGTCTCTTGGTGACTCTTAGCAGAAGTACAAAGCTTATTTAGGTAAAGGATGGAAATTAGCTTTTAGCTGTGATAACAGCCAGCATTACTGCATATTTATTTATAAACAATGCTTTTGTTATAGCTTTTTTAAAAAAAATGACAAGAAACTGTGAAGAGTTTAGAATTAGGTTTTGTGTTGGCAATAATGAGGAAGTATGGTCATTAAAGATAAAACCTTGAAGGCTGAGAAACAAGAGCAGTGCCTAAATTTTGGGCATGGCTCCTAGAGCTGAAGAAAATTTGTCAAGACCTGGTTACAAATACACATTATTTTAATAGGGGGGCCACTCTGGAAGTATGTTTATTGTATTCTGTTCAAACTATTTGGGGGGGGGGTCAGCTCAACAAAATCCAGTCCCACAGGTCTGCAGCATGCACAGCACAGACTGACTGGTGTCCATGGCATCATCATTCCATCTTCCCATCCTAAAAAATTTCCCAGCCTCTTTTCTTTTTTAAATAGACAAGTGAATATTTAAATGTATGATCATATATGTAGTGCTTTAAAATGTTACAAGGAGACACAATGGGAAAGGTATGACTAATAATTGAAGTAGCTGCTATATACATCCATCATTTACACTGATAAGGCAAAAAAAAAAAAAGCAGTGCACACCCAAGGGACAAAAATATCCATTGCAATTCCTGTTTTAATGTTATTCATACAAGCCATATGAATAATCTTCCTGGGTTAGTGCAAGGCTATGAGTTGCCACGCCCAGCAAAGCTTAAATAATACCCATGCCTTGTACTTAGCCATCTTAGGGCACCTCACTCAACAGGGAAAAAACACAACTAGAAGTTCGAACGCAGAGATCTATGAGGCAAGAAAAACAGAACAGTTGGTTCATAGGGGACTGGAACACGGAAGTTCTAACAAAAATGGCAGGGAGGCACCAGCTTAAGCTGGCCAGGCTGAAGTAGCACAACTCCATAGAAACTGGATACCTGTAATGATTAAAAGGAAACCAGGATCACAATTTAATGCGGTCATGCTGAGTGAACTCTCACAGAACAATTCTTAGCCTGTATCTCATGATCTACCAACTACAGAGAAGTTATTAGTCATTCACCAAGCACCATAAACTCTGCAGCATGTAGCCAGTTTGGATGCACAGATACCCCAAATGGCAAAGAATGAGATTTTTTCACTAACACCTTCAAAGTGTATTTGGTTGTTTAAGCAGGGCAATAGATACTGTGACATTAGTAGATAGTTCCCACCTGTGCATCTCAGATTGTCACAGAGCAGTATTCTGAGATCAAGCATTAGCCTGTGATGTGGCCAAGGAAATGTTATCAACCCAAGAACTGTAACATGTGAATGGACTGATAATAGAGGGAAACACAGATGGCCATTTCCAGAGCCTGGCCTCCCTCCTGAAGTGCCTTGGGATAGTGAGCAGCAGCAGCACCTGTAAACAGCAAAGAACAGAAGCCAAGCGGCATCCACTAAACCCAGCATAACTGTAGCGGTCCAGCTCCTGCTCTGCTGCTAGCTATTACTGAGATTATTCCAACTGCTCAGTACTCTTTTTAGTAAGGGCCTTCCCCCCCTTACTACCGTCCACTAGTAGCTTGACCTCACTCCCAGATAAAGTGCTTTAGAAAGACATGGAGAAGTGGAATAACAGCCATGAACTTCCAGATTCCCTGTTCCCTTAGTCTAGTACCTCACTGCATAATCTTGGGTGGGGGTGTGGAGGAGGCAGGGAGGGAGGCACAGCATCCCCAAACGTCTGAGTGGGGTTGACTTTACAGCAGTGACAAGGAATCCCCCGCATTTTTAAAACAAGCCCAAGAACAGCCGCTTCCTCTTCTAGAGCCCAAGGCGACACAAGATTTTGGCCCTGCCCACGGCCTTCCTAGTCTTACGCATCAACTGGCATCCACCCAGACCTGCTTCCAACCACACAGCCTAGGAGTGACTGAGACACTAGTAAAGTGCCCTCGCAGAGGTGGAAGAAGAAACCTTTTCCGCCCCGGGTCTCCGAGTCCCGAGACCACCCCCACCCCCCTTCACAGACAGCATTCTGAGGAAAGTTGCCAAGAAGGGGCTCCTCGCCTCCTGAAACTCGAGCCCCAAGCCTCGCCCAACGACGAGGGGAAACCCTCGGCGCGGCATGGCCCGCGGCGGCAGGCCCCCGCCCCCCCCCTCCCAAACCTCTCCCGCTATATTCCAGAGGGAACGGGGGACCTCCCTTCGCGAGGGGCACTTGTGTACATCTTGCCTCACCGAGATCGGCCTTGGCACCGAGAGAACCGGCGGCTCGGGGCGAGTTTGAAAAGCCGACTCCCGAGGCCCTGCAGCGAATGCAGGGGAAATTACCAGCAGCGCTTTGCGATGAGTCCTTAATCGGATTGCAGGGCGTCTCCTGAGCCATCCCCAGACAGACGAGCAAATTTACTTACTTGCCGTGCGGAGGGCGTCTGTCAGGCCAGAGCTCCGCTTTCCTGTTGGCTGGGTAGCGGCAGCGGTGAGGAGGTTCCCTACGCCCTACCACCCTCCATCGCCGCACAGTTTGAGCAGAGCAGCTGCCCTTCCCGGCTCCGCACAAGGAAGGTGGGGTTTGGCCTGGCAGGATATGCATGCGGCTCAGATTGAGCCGTGGCGAGGGGGATGGGCGGAAGAGTTAAAGGCGCCGGAGTTGCGTTCAGCTTTTGTGCGCTGATCTCTTCTCCAGAGCGCCCTGTTCTCTTGGCGGGCGGCCCAACCGCCTGGAGGCTCCCACCGTGGTTCCTCATAGGCAGAAGACAAAAACTCAGGGGCCAAAACAAAAGTTAGTTTCGGGGCATTTGGCCCTCATCCCCCCTCCCCCGCTCATATGTGTCTTTCTCTCTGCCGACTAAAGATACACTGCAAGCATCGATGAAAAGAGCACTGATTTATGCTACAATAGATCTGTTGATCTTTCAAGTGCCAGTAGACCCCCCCTTTTTGTTGCGGTGGTATTAACAGCCCAACTGGCTTCATTTCTGAAATTAATCTCGGAATAATTTCCAGTTTAACACTGGTCCTCTCACACCAGATCAGACATAAATTCCCAGTCAAGGCAGTGAACCTACACAGAAGGAATGTAGAAACCTTTCTTGCAAGTTGTAGGATAGTCTTCTTGCACAATGAGACTCCAGCCCCTCCATTTCATGCCACCCAGTATTTCTTTTAAAACAGCCCGGGTATGGGTTGTGAGGCCAAAGAGAGGGAATGAGAGAGGATGAGAGGGGAGAGAAAGCTCAGTGGCAAATTTGTATGTTGCTTAGTAATATTAATAAACACTGATGTGAGCCTCCTGCAGTTTGTGTAGGGGAGGGGAAAGTTGCATGGAGTTACTTTGCAAGTGGGTCCCAAAGTACAGTAAGGTTAGAACTGAGCCCCACTTCAAAAAGTTTATGAACCACTGATCTAAACAACTGATGCTCTATGTCGGCTGGCTTACTGGTTGAACCATTAAGCTGCAGTGTGAGTGAGCTGCTGCCATGCTCTGTTAAATTACCCTCGGTATAGACTGAAACTGTAATCTTTGAGTATTACTTTATCCCCAGTGGGGACCCAAAGTAGTTTATCCTCCATTTTGTTCTCACAACAACGCTGTGAGGTAGGTTAGGTTGAGAGAGTGTGATTCGGCCCGAAATCACCCAGCAAGCCTTTACGGCAGACTGAGAATTCAAACCGAGGTCTCCCTGATTCTAGTCCAGTATTCTAATCAGAACACCACACTGTGGCTTAATCCCAGTTACAGTTATTGTTAGGCTGAAATCCTAACCACATTTACTAAGGAGTAAGACTCACTTCTTTCTTCTGAGTATACATGCTTAGGATTGCACTGCTAGCTTGCTTCTCTCTCCACAGTTATCCACAGCACAGCTGAGCTTGCAGTATATGTTATTATAATTACATATGTGTTGTCATAATTATGTGTACAAAGAATCTGTCTTTATTAGACGCTTGGGATACATACATAGGCCAGCATTATGAGGCTGTAAAAATAACTGGGATTATGTCCAGTTGGGAATGAAATGTTGAACAAGCACTCAAGGGATGCTGGGCTTGTCTGACACGGGGAACAAGCACCCTGGGATAACAAACATTTAGGAATGAGCTTGGTTAAGGCCAGTTTGGGAACAGTCCCTCCCCACTATTTGTTTAAGCTCAGGGGAAGCTCCCATTTCATTTATTTTCTTTGTTGTATTTGAGTAACTCAGTACACAGTGCCTGGCTACAGGTACAACAGACATGAGGAAGGGGAAGGAAAGGGGGCAGGGGCAGATAAGAAAGGAGAAAGGCATCCGGTTCCCCCAGAAGCAGGTTTCTACTGAAGGGCGGGGCAAATCCCCCCTCCCCCCCTTTTGTATATGCACTTTAGGTTCCAGCTAGTGAAGACTTGGTATATGCCACAGATATCAAACCATTTGCAAGCCATTTTCCCATTACAAAACCCAGTGCTTTCTCTTACAGACATTGATGACAACAGAAATATAGCACATGAACACTGCATATAAGCGACAAAGCTTCTTTTATCAAGGTGATCTCCACAGCAAACTTAATGTATAAAGGAGGTCTTTAAAAGAATGGCACCAGCAGGGTCGGCCCAAGGTTTTTTGGTGCTCTAGGTGAAACTAGTGCCCCCCCAGGCGAGGCTGCCTTGTGGCACCCCCCCTCACCTTGTGTCTCCCCCCCCCCGCCACGTGCCTCTCCATGCACCCGTGAAGAAGTTCCATGATGACACTCCAGACTGGGAGAAAGGCAGGGAGGGAGGGCAGAGGGTGCAGCAGGAGGCGGGGAAGGGAGGCCGGGTGCAGTTTGGTGCCCCTAAGGGCTGGCGCACTCTAGGCGAATGCCTAGTTCACCTTGTGAGCAAGCTGGCCCTGGGCACCAGCTTGCCTTGGAGAAGGCAAGAAAGGGGGCTGAGCGCCAAGACCCTGCAGGATGAAGAAAGCTGAAGTCTGTGTATGAGGAGTCTCTCACACAGCCATACTAGCACTGTAGTTACTGACAGGGTAAAGAGAATATGTGACTATCCAGATCCATTGTAGGGCAACAGAAACATCTTGCGTCCCCCTTGCCTGGGTATGTGTGTATTGACACTGCCATGGAGGATGAAGTGAAGGGTGAGAGAAAAGGGAACACTGTTTATAGCTGCCTCATTTGACGGAGCTAATACCATACACTATGGTGCCTACGTTTTTAAAATAGTTGGTGAGTGGAAAGAAACTAAGGCCTGCCTCACACATGCCCATACTGGTGGCTTGTTAATCATAATGCAAATTTCGAGAAGAAGGCTGAAGCTCCAACTGGACAGTCATCTGTATGAGCAGTCAGACCTTCAGTTAATGGATTTAAGCTGTGCAAAGTGCGATACTCTGCAAAGAAAAGGGATATATGGGCAGTGAGAGGGCTGCGAAAAAGGAAACTTTACTTACAGCATTCAAAACCAAAAGACATTTGTGCTTTCCCGCACTTTGATGATTGATGTAATGAATTATGCCATACTATCCATTAGTGCTGTGACCTGCATGGCCCAGGCTACCCTGATCTTTATTATTTATTCTTTGGATTTATATCCTGCCCTCCCCGAAGGCTCAGGGCGGCTTGTCCAAGTAGGGATGCCAGCCTCCAGGTGGGACCTGGGGAGCCCCTGGAATTACAGTTCATCTCCAGACTACAGAGATCAATTCCCCTGGAAAACAACTATACTTTGGAGGGTAGACTCTATGGTACTGTATCCCACTGAGGTCCCTGTTCTACCCAGGCTCCATCCACAAATCTCCAGGAGTTTCCCAACCTGGATCTGGCAACCCTACCTCCCATCCCTTGCTGGTGGCCAGCGGTGACCCGGCTACCCTAAATCCTGGAAGCTAAGCAGGGTTGGCTCTGATCCGTATTTGGATGGGAGACCAGGAAGAAAGTCCAGGATTGTTAGGCAGAGGCAGGCAATGGCAAAACACCTCCATTGTCTCTTGACAGTTCTTTCCATTATTGTCTACCACCATCCATTAGTGCCTACTCATCACAACTACACAACAAGTACATACTACCTTGGTAAACTGCATTTTTGACCCCTCAAATATCGGCTCCCAACCCGATTTTCCAGTCACCAAGGGGCAAAGGAAAAAGAACAGTATCAAAAGAAAGAAGCTGTTTACACATCTCTAAAACTGTATAAATAATACATTATTTCCGTGGGAAAAGGGGGGGGGGAATGAAGACAAAGTGAGTTCAGCCGCGGCGAAAACCAAAAGGGAAAAAAATGAAATTAAGAAAAAGGTTTCTGCGCCTTGAAGAGTAGTCAGACCTCCCCTTCAAATGCCCGACACCACTGCGTTTCACTGGTATCTCAGTCCCTTCCCTGAGTCAGGGCTCGGGTATGCCGGCCAGGCAGCTGCCACACCCGAATCGGATGGCTGCATAGCGGGGCGGGGAGAGGGCTGTGACTGGGAGTTGCAATCGGCCTACGTCTGGCACCCAGGGCGATTTAGGGCTTCCAGTAACAAACGAAAGAAAGGCACTGACTGAGTAACGTTTGCGCAACGTGCTTTACCCCGAGTAACCACAAAAGACACTCGCCTCCTGCCGGAAGGATTTACAGTTTTAGAGCTGCAGCCTCCCAGCAACCTTAAACCCCGTTCACCTCCATGCTAAAAAGCAAGCACCACCAGGCCCCAATCCGGAGAGTCTACTGCGCGGTTTATCTAACATCGATGCCTCCGCAGAGGCGACCTGATTGGTTAGTGACCAGCTTTTGATTGGGCCAACGTAAAAGAGCCGCCCTACCTCCCGGGCTGTCGGCAGCAAAACGTCACTAGTAGCCAAAGCATCTTTCTTCCACGCAGCGCGCAAGCTCCTCCTGCTGGCAGCGGTCAAGCACGTCTTAAAGCCGAAGTAGGGATTGTGCTCCCGTTGTGTGGGATCGAACATCACACGCGAGAGGTCATTTCGGCTCCCCCAGCTGTCATTAGGGGCTCTTTAAAAAGTTATGGCCGCTGCCGCCACTGTCGGCTGCGGTTCCCCGGCTCCCTGAGCCCCGGGGTGGCGACCTAGAACTCCTAGGGGCAGACTCCACCTCTCCCGTTTTGTTTTTATCGAGTGTATTTTATAAGCCATTAGCCACCCCTGGTCCCATTTGAGGGAGCGGGATATAAGTTTGATAAATAGTAGTAATAACTAGAGAGAAGAAGAAGAGGTTGGATTTATACCCCGCCCTTCACTACCCAAAGGAGTCTCAGAGCGGCTTACAATCTCTTTTCCCTCCCCCTCCCCACAACAGACACCCTGTGAGGTCGGTGGGGCTGAGAGAGCTCTCCTGAGAACTGCCTTTGAGAGAACAGCCCTGAGAGAATTTGTGACTGACCCAAGGTCACACCAGCAGCTGCATGTGGAGGACTGGGGAGTCAAACCCAGTTGTCCCAGATTAGAGTCCGTGCTCCTAACCAGTACATCTGTCAAATACTGGGTTCTAGACGCATTGCAGTGAATCAGCTCTATTGAGAGTCAGTTTGGTTTAGTGGCTCAGTGCACGGACTCTAATCTGGGAGAACCAGGTTTGATTCCCCACTCCTCCACTTCACCTGGCTGGATAACCTTGGGCAAGCCATAGTTCTCATAAGAGCTGTTCTTGAAAAAAGAGCAGTTTCTGTCAGAGCTCTCTCAGCCCCA